AATATATATATATATATATATATATATATATATATATTTCTCATAAGAAAAAAACTTTTTTAACTATGTATGGTGACAGATGTTAACTAGATGTACTGTGGTGATCATTTCACAACATATACAAATATTGAATCATAACCTGAAACTAATGTTATATGTCAATTATACGTCAATAGAAAAAGGGGAGGGGTTTCTGAGTTGATGGTTATGTCATCACCTTATGGTCACTTTATGGGTGTATTCATGTTAAAACTTATAAAATTATACACTATAAAGGTGCAGTTTTGTGCATATCAGTTATATCTCAATAAAGCAATTTTCCAAAAAAATGGACTGGGAAACAGAGTTCACAATTTCCATCATCCAAAAAATATGACTAGACAAGATAAAAATCAGTCAATAGGTAACAGAAAAATAAATGGTGGTATATTCATATAATGGAATGCTCAGGAATAAAGAAACAGCCTGTATGAATAAACAAAATCTCAATATGCTGAGCTAAAGAAGACACAAAAAAAGTGCTTACCACATGGTTCTATTTATATAATATTCTAGAAAAAGCAATACTAACCTATAGTGACAGAAAACAGAAATCACTGGTCTGGGGGCCAGGCATGGCCATCGCTGAGACAAGAGAACTTCTTGGGGTGATGGAAATGTTCTTTATCTTGACTGTATTGGTGGTTACACAGGTGTATACAGTGGTCAAAACTCATCAAACAGTAAACTTAAAATGTGTGCAGTTTATTGTACGTAATTTCTTTCTCAATAAAGCATTTTTTTTTTTTAATTTAAGGTACCAGTTATAATCAATCACGTACACATACCTCTAGTTGTTGCTGTTCCATTTTAGTTAATAAAAATTTGGAGTAGATATTGCTTTTTTCAAGCAAATGTTGAAGTCTACGGTACCGAATGTCCACGGACTCTCTATCCCAAGACATGCGAGCCTATCCAAAAAGAAAATTTCCATAATTATTAAGTTTTCTGACATATGTGATGTTTTTCATAAGACGTAAAAAAAAAAAAAAAAAGTATAAATAAATGCTCTTCGGGTTTAATAGTTTTTCTGTTATTAATGGGGGGAAAAGATTTTTATAATTTTTACTTTAGTAAAAATGGTTTATTTTCCAAACCAAAAACTAGAACAAAGCTGAAAAAATTTGATTCCTGGGTTCAACATGCCATTTGGTATGATGCAGCCTGGATACCAAAATATTGAAATTTTAGACACTGGACATGTTTACTGGCATCCACTGAATTGAGGGTCCATTTTTTAAATATATAAAATTAACACTAGAAAGTAAATATTTAATTCATAACACTAGAAAGTAAATATTTAATTCAAGTAGATTTAAGTTTTTAAACAATCAAATGACTTCAGGAAAGAACATTTTTAGATACCAGGTTTATTTGAAAGAGCATTTGAATTAAAAACTCATTTCATTGGCTAGGAACTAGAACATCTATTCTTAGAATTTTAAAATTGTATGGCTGGGGTGGCTCAGTCAGTTAAGCATTGAACTCTTGATTTCAGCTCAGGTCATGATCTCATAGTTGGTGAGCTGAGCCCTGCACTTGCAGAACATGCTAAGGATTCTCTCTCTCTCTCTCTCTCTCTCTCTCTCTCTCAAAACAAATAAACTTTATATTTAAATAAACTTTAAAAACAAAAAAACAAACAAAAAAATATATTACTGGGGTGGGTGGGTGTCTGACTGGCTCAGTCAGTATATAGCATGTGACTCCTGATCTCAGGGTTGTGAGTTTGAGCCCCACACTGGGTCTAGAGATTACCTTAAAAAAAAAGAACAACAACAAAAAGAAAAGAAAATCCTAAAATAAAAATTTTAAAAAAATTGCATTGTCAAAATATTTCAACCTGCTAAATCTACTTATGATTTATCACAAGTTTCTCCTCCTTCCTCTTCAGCGTTTTGTTCCCCAGAGCTTTGCCATTCTTTTAGACTTTACTCTCCCCTACGGTTAGCTTTATCTTTTACTTCTGTATATCTTCAACTCACAAACCTGCTTTTCATACTACTTTTACTCACCATTTATTTATTAAGTGATTTCTAAGTCTACAATAGTCTAGTGGCTGAGAAGGAATCCTCTCACATTAGTCACTGATCATCCTTTATCACACTGATAAAACATAAAAGCAACAAATAAATACTATAGTTCGGTGGTCCACAAATTTTCTTCTGTAAACAGCCAAAGGGTAAATATTTAAATATTGAAGCATATGGCTTATAAATACTCAATTCTGCCTTTGCACAAGAACAGACAATATGTAAACAAATGGGAAGGGTGATGTTCCAATAAAACTTTATTTACCTAAACAAGCACAATCCAGTTCATAATTTGTCAACCCAGTATGATCTCAATTAAAAAAAAAAAAGCACTAAGTGGGCTGAAGTGAGCCAAGAGTTGAATTCATCTACCAAAGCCAAATACATGCAAACCTTACAAACCAGCAGTTCTACTTCTGGGACAAAATGTGTGAGCAGAGTGACTGAGTGAGAGAGAGCAGATGCAGAAGCTGAGTTAGCATAACCTAACTAACTTTAATTTAATGGTTAAGGCCTGACCTTGTAATTCAGACATCATTGTGTATTGGCTTGTTTTTCCTAGATGTTCTATTATCTCTCTAGCTTTTCTTTCAAAATACATTTTTCTATTACAAAAGCAATGAGAATAAGATACCTAAAAAGAAATCCAATGAAAATAATAAATACACATTATAGAAAAATATTAAAAACAGACCCATAAAACAAACACCCGTTATTCTATCCATGAAGATAATCTGTTGACATCTTACAAAACTCTATTTTCAGTTCTTTCAGGACAGCCTTTCTTTTACTATTACCAATATATTACTGTGATTACAACAGGAAGTCAATGAGTGAAACAGATATAAATTGGGAGATGAAATTACTTAGATTTTGACAAAAAAATCTTAATTTTTAAAATTTGTTTTAAATTTTAATTAAATATTCTGGACTTAATTTAGATATATCTGCTACCTCAATCCTGTCCAGAATAAATTAGCACACATTTTTTTTAAGTAATTAAAGATTTAAGATAATATCATGTTACACTAATTTGTACATAATTAAGGAAACGAAATCAATGACTAACCTTTAAAATAACTCCATATTTCAAAATAATTTTGTAGTAAACCTTATCTACCATTACTGTTCTTTAGTAATTTTATTTGTTATATTAAAGTAAATTGTAGTTCCAGCTGTGGAAAGCAATGAGTGCCTCGCACGGAGAATCTCTTGATGACTAGAGTGAAAGAGTATGCCAATGGACACCAAGGGCATAAATTCCCCAGGGCCTACACTTCATTATCTCTCCCAACACCAACACCAGATTTGGGGGCATGGGGGTTGAGTTATATTTCATTCTCACCATAGGAACTGTTTTCCTTTTGCCTAAGACTTACCCCAACTCTTACCTTTCCCCTCCCCCACGACATATACTTTAAGGCTACTCTTAAGTCTTAGACTAACAATGACTTCTTTCAAAAGGAAATGAAGGTGAAAAGCCAACGAAAATAACTGCAGCAAATCAATGTCAAAGCCATTCTCCACTCTTCACAAATCTTAAAATCTCCTAAAGCAAGGTAAATGCTTCTCATTAAGGAATTTAAGCAAGCTCTTCCTCTCTTAGGTACTTCTAAATATATGCCCATAAATATTGTGGGCATATATTCTTCTAAAAGAAAAAGAATCTTTATTCTTGTATAGTGAATTTTTTGTCCTCCAAAGACATGTAGAGAGAAACTAATTCTTAGAATTTTCCCCATGGTCAAGTAGGGAATAACTTAGAAATGAAAACTATAAAAATTAATCAAATTCTTTCAATATTTATACATAAAAAGAAAATATAATAACAATAGACCATAATACTGCTAGCTTTTTGGCTATATTAGTATATTATATTAGCATAAAAACTGAAAAGAGCTATATACTTTATTCACGGAAGGACTAAAAGTGGATTAAAAACTGCTGTTTTAAGTTCTATGATGAAATACTGAAGAAATGCTACATTTACTGTACCTATCCCTCAACAATAACAACTCCAAAAATTTTGATTATAAAATGCTTGCTCAGAAACTTAAAAATTTTACTGAAAGTATATGTCATTTGATTCTAGTTTAATCAGCAAATACTTATGGTACTATAAATTTTGAGAGATCTTTCTATAAAATGTGAAAATGGGGTACCTGCCTGGCTCAGTAGGTGGAGCAGGGGACTCTTGATCTTGGGTTTTAAGTTCAAGTCCCAAGTGCAGAGATACTTAAATAAAAATCTTTCAAAAGAAAAATGTGAGTTTTCATCTCCTGAATTAATGCATGCTAGAAATGTATTCATTCTTACTGCACCTCATGATCTTTCTTCAAATAGTACTTCTTTACCCCAAAATCTTCATGAGTCACAAAACTGAAGATATACTACTCAAAATGAAGGCTTCATCGGGTGCCTGGGTGGCTCAGTCAGTTAGGCATCTGCCTCTTGGTTTCAGCTCAGGTCATGATCTCAGGGTTCATGGATTCAAGCCCTGTGTAGGGCTCTGCACTGGCAGTGTGGAGCCTGCTTGGGGTTCTCTCTCTCTCTATCTCTCTGCCCATCTGCCCCTCATGCTCTATTTGAAAAAAAGAATGAAGGCTTTATCATTCTCATAATCTCTGAAGTTGATTCAATTCTGGACACTTGCCCCAGGATTCACCCTTTATAATTATCATCCTATTACATGGCTAGTAAGTACATATATTTTATTTATATAATCTTATATATGCTGTGTAATATAAAATATTCTTTACCACAGTTTGAAATTCAAGAACATTCACTGATTGCCTATTTGCTAGGTGCACAGCCTATGAAAACAAAACAGTAAGTGACATGCTTTCAATAAACAAAATGAGAATCAAGTGAGTAATGATAATACTGTGAAACAAAGTACTATGGAAATTCATACCATGAGGAAAGGTGGTTCACAGTTAACTTCCCAATTCTATTAAAATTTCTTAACATTACCGTAACTGATTATGGTCAACTATGGGTGAGTAATAACAAAACTAGTATTACTGGAGTGAAAGTATAGCATGGTGGTTAAAAAGTGTGAATTCTGGAATCACATGGCCTACAAACAATCTTGGCTCTACCACTTACAAACTGTGGGACTTCCCCCTTTCCCCACCCCTTCCACGCCTCAGTTGTCTCATCTGTAAAATGAGGTGAAAACAGATCTACTTCATAGAATGCTTTAATAAAAATAGTTTATACTAGTAATTAAGCCATTAGGTTTAATAATATAATAATGTATTTAATAACCGTATCTACTTTACAGTCTAGTTGAAGATTCAATGGGGAAATACGTGTACAACATTCACAAGTGTTCACAGTGTCAGCAAAAGAAATCATTACTGTTGATATAAAATGGCAGAGAACCAACTGATTCATTAGTTGTCTTTGGGGTGCATTTCCCAATTTAAGTAATTTTGCAATTACATAGAGTTAATTAAACATTAACGTATATTTCCTTAGGTATAGGGTCAAAAACAACAACTCTGAAGACAGCCAGAGTTCAAATTTGAGTTCACTGTTGTGTGACCCCAACTGCCCCAGTTTCCTCATATGTAAATGGAGAGATACCAAAAGTACCTGCAGCATCACAATATTTGGAGTGCAAAATAAATTATTACAAGAAAATCACTTCACTTGGTAGGCAGTACCTACCAGCTAGTGGCTATCATTTCTTTTCTTGCACAGGCAAGAATTAATAAGCAAGATGGCACTTTCTTACTGAGTGAAATATACTCGAGGATTGAATTTTCAGGAGGTTGAAAACTGCTTCCAGTAATCTACAAAACACACACCCCGTACAAGGAAACCACTGGCATAATAACTTAATCACTGAAAAAGTACACCCCCATTTTTACCTAAAGAATCTTCCTTCGCATAGGTCCAAGAAAGCAAAAGGAAAACGAAAGCAAGTTTATCCCTCGCGTGGAAAACGGCACTGAAATACCTCACTCAAAAACTCACTACCGGTTTTGGAAGAACGGCTACGGCTAAAGGAGCACCTTGAAACGCTCCACGGCCAAGACTACGTCTCACAGAAGCATCTTTCAGAGCGCGAGCAAAGGTGTCTCACAGATAGCGTGCGTAAACATAGAGATAACCAACAAAGCCTGTTTGAAAGGGTCTGGAAGAAGCCGACCGAAGAACCAGACAAACCTCCGAGGAAGCGGACTACCGGCTTTAACGACGATGAACTTGAGTCCTAAAGTACCTTTTCTATCATCTTCCGCTCCCTCTCGAGTCCAGCAGCCTCGAGCTGTTCTTCCTCCTCCAGCATGGCTTGGGTAATCACGGCGGTCTCGGGCTCTTCAACCGGATCTGGAGCCGGGGACTCTATGAGGGGAGAAAGCTTTTTTAACTGCAGTCTTTAAACACTGCCAGTTCACTGGGTCATTACCAGTTCACTCCCACGTTGAACAACCTTCCTGGATGCATTCGAGGCAAAAGCTGAAGACCCACGGGGACGCCAGCATCAGCTCTCTCAAGACATCCCAGGGTCTCCACAATGTCAACAAGTGGCCAGGACCCAGTTTACCAATCGGGATGCTCGGGGAAATGCAGCTCCCCTGTGTAAAATCTCCTATATCGTGCACATATGTGCAATTCCGGGCGCCCTCCACAGCCTCTGCACCTCCTTTCCTTTCCAGTCTCTGCCCGGAGTCCGCTCTACTCCCCAATCTCGGCTGCCGCCTCCATGCTGTCTCCCTCCCCGCGACCCGGACGCCGCCGCCCGCGCCGGGAGAAAGGGTCTGCTTACTCACCATCGCTGCTCGCGGGCCGCTGCGCCGGCATGGCTGACACACACTCCAAAACTGGGTCCTCTCCTCAGCGTCCGCAACGGAGCGCCCTAAACTCTCTCGGCTGCCGCCTGCCCAGCCTCCTCGCCAAATCCCCGGCCAGGGAAAAACGCGCGCTTCTCCTTCGCGGGAAAACGCCATCATCTCGCGATACTTCGTGCTCCCCGCCCCGCCCCGCCCCCGAACCGCGGCGGCACGAGATTTGGCGCAATTTAGTTTTCAGCAGAACCCACCTGGGCGACGGTGAGTGTTTACGTAGAAGTCTTATCTCGGGAAAATAAGTTTTCGTTGTGACACTGGACGCGTCTGCCCACAGCGGAGGGCCCAGTTTCCTCACGTATTGGATGATGGCTTTGAATTACACAATACTTTAGTAGCGCTCTTATTTGCAAGGCACCTTCACATACTGGCTGATGTGATTAAATCGCGCCAACTCATGATCCTTTAGGTAGGAAATCTGTATGAGTATTCAGGTAAGGATGTCAGAAGCAAATATTGCCAATCTCGCCCTCCATCCTTCGTGCACAATGTACCTTGTGGGTGAAAACTGCCCAGAGTGACCCAGAAGAGAGCTCCTTTGTGGGTGAGATGGGAGAGACAGATAGGAAAGTAAGATTATGGCAGAGTTCAAGAAGGGTGTTTCTGGATAAAGAAGAACTGAATGTAGTGATAAGGTGAGAGGAGTGGCCAGTAGAAAAGACAGAAGATTCAAGAATTCAATAAGCCAATCATTAGAATGGGTGCTTGAAAGAATTTTGTTGCTGGTTTTTTCTTCAGCCTGTAATTCCACTTTGTCTGCAGTTCCTTTCAATAAATTACTTGGCTCCCCTTCCCTTCTGGGAATTTGTGGTATACCTGCGTTACCACCTGTTTCCTTCATTTCTTACTCCAGACAACTTTAATGATTGTATTACTACAAAATTAAGGGCTTGCAACACAATCCATCAAACCATCTTCAGCAACCTTGGTAACACTCTGAGATGAGATTATTTTTATTCCTACATTGTAGGTGAGAAATCTGATGCTCAGAAAAGACTGACTTGCCCAGAGGCCTATGGATACTTTGTGATAAAACGGGCCAAACCCAGGCCTTTTGACTCCTACTTCAGTATTAAGATAAAATATAGTTTTATCTTGATTAATCTCTTAATCTCTCGATTAATACTTATTCTTAAATCCTACCTCTAACCTAAGACAATGGCTATCAGTCTCACTTAAGATTTTTGCCTTCCCCAACCTATCCCCTAAAATTTCTTTCTCCCTTACTGTTGAAACCCAGCTTTTCACGGGGTTTTCCTCTAATGTATTAAAAATCTCTTCTTGTTCCTTCTTTTGAATTCAATTGTGGCCCAGCTCCCAAAATCTTTCCTCCATCTGTTGCTTTTCTGTATATATTCTGTACGGGTAGCATCTGCTGTTCAGGCTTCAATGATCAGCTCAAGGCTGACGACTTCCCTTCTGATTCCTAAGAGAGTAGGGAAGGTTTGTCCAAATGCACATGAGATGCAGTTCAAGGCAATTTCATCTGATTCTCAAAGTAAAGACATCTCATCTAACATCTGGCCCCACACTTGTTAATGCAAGTGCACGGGTACATTTCCTGACACGTTTGCCATCGTGCAGACCTTCCCTTAGAGTGGCTGTTCAAAGTCTGTTCATTCACTTTTATTTAAGGGCCTACATTTAAATGTCTCCTGGGTACCAGAAACATTTCTAGGAGCTGTACAGCAATGAACAAGACAGACAAGATCCCTGTTGATACGGATCTTACATTTCAGGCGTTAAAGCAGGTAAGCATGTGTAGGGGGTGGGCGTGTGAGAAGTACTCTGTAAAATGTTAGCATAGGGTGGTATAAGAGTGACTGGGTACTTTAGAATAGGTAGTCAGGTATCCGAGGAAGTAACACATTTAGACTGAGAATTGAATGTCAAGCAGCCAGCTAGCCCAGGGGAAGATAGTTGTATGGGAGGAAAATCTTTCCTCTACCCTACTAGGTTCTTTTGTCTGGTCTATTAATTAAATTGACATGTTACAGATTAACAGGAGAAACACAAATTACTTAGTGCATATAGGAGTCCCACAAAGTTAATGAGAGGCTCCCTAATGGTGAGGTAATTGAGGCTTATATGCCATTCTAAGCTAAGAAGGGAAGGAAAACAATTCACAGGAAGATGGCAAGAGCAAATGTTTTGTAAACAAATGTTTACAGTGTAGTGCAGACACAAAGGGAGACAGGGAGAACTTTTAACAAACAGGCCCTGCCAAGCTCCCCCCAGTTTACTACACCTAGTCCTTACTCTATTTCTGGTGATAGCTTTCTTCCTGGACCAGGCCCTCTATGTAAATTCTTTTAAGCAGTTGGGGGAGGAAGTTAAAAAACTCTTGTTGAGTCTTTTGGGCCTTAATTGTCTTTAGCTCAAAATAATCAGCAGGCCAAAGTGGTGCCTTCTGGGGAGACTTGTTCAGAACCACTTCCCTGGAAGTTGCACACATTAAAAGCTGAGCTGATGGCTATGGAGAGAAGAATCAGGCTAGTGGCTGGGTGCTAAGACATCTGCAAAGAGAGAAAAAAAACATAGATTATAATGAGGATGAAAAACAGAAAAGAACAAATCGAAGCGCATTACCCCACAACCCATTAAACCAGTCTCTCAATCCTAGAGGCAAGTTTATAAAATCGATTTGGAGTGTCACAAAGGACAGTGTGGGCCTAGGAGAACTTCCTGAGGTGTACAGGCATACCTCAGACACTCTGTGGTTTCAATTCCAGACCACCATAATAAAGCCAATATCGTAATAAAGCAAGTCAAATTAATGTTTTTGGTTTTCCAGTACATATAAAAGTTATATTTACACTATACTGTAGTTCTATTAAGTATGCAATAGCATTATGTCTAAAAAAGCAATGTACAGTGCGCCTTGCTGGCTCAGTTGATGGAGGGTGTGACCCTTGATCTCAGAGTTCTGAGTTCAAGCCCTGCATCAGGTGTAGAGATTACTTAAAAATGAAAATCTCTGGGGCGCCTGGGTGGCTCAGTCAGTTAAGCATCTGACTTCGGCTCAGGTCATGATCTCACCGTCCATGAGTTCGAGCCCTGCATCGGGCTCTGTGCTGACAGCTCAGAGTCTGGAGCCTGCTTCAGATTCTGTGTCTCCCTCTCTCTCGGACCCTCCCCCGTTCATGCTCTGTCTCTCTCTGTCTCAAAAATAAATAAACGTTAAAAAAAATTAAAAAAAAAAAAAAAAAATTTTTTTTTAAATCTCTAAAAATAAGTGAATAAAATAAAAAAGCAATGTACATACCTTAACTAAAAAATACTTTGTTGCTGGGGCATCTGGGTGGCTTAGTCAGTTAAGCATCTGACTCTTGATTTTGGTTCAGGTCATGATCTCAGAGTTCGTGGGATTGAGCCCTGCATTTGGCTCTGTGCTGAAAGCATGGAGCCTGCTTGGGATTCTCTCTCCCTCTCTCTCTCTCTGCCCCTCCCCTGCTTGCTCTTGCTTGCTCTCAAAATAAATTTTAAAAAAACTTAGAAAAATTAAAAAAAATACTTTGTTGTTAAAAGATGCTAACCATCATCTGAGCTTTCAGCAAGTTGTAATCACTGATTACAGATCACCACAACAAATAATGAAAAAGTTTGAAACACTGTGAGAACTACCAGAATATGACACAGAGACATGAAGTGAGTAAATACCTTTGGAAATATGGCACCCATATACTTGTTCAACACAGGGTTGCCAGATAAAGATCTTTAATTTGTAAAAATAATGCAATATATACAAAGTGCAATAAAGCAAAGTACAGTAAAACAAAGTATGGTTGTACTGATTTATTCCAGAAATTTGGTGAGATTTACAAGTGGTACACTGGGAAATACTTTAATCAGAAGGTTTGTGGAAGCCAAGACAAAACCAATTGTTTTTAGTTCCTTAACTATCTCCCATCTGCATGTGTGTCTCATTTGGTGGGAGGTAAGTACAAGCCAAAAGGTCATGTTTGTCCCAATGTATAACCTCTCTGATAACGGGCACGCTTTTGTATCTATTTGTCTTTTTCAGATTGTGGGGCATTTGCCTTAGCGTTAATCATGTCAGCCAAGAAAAAGCAGGGTTAAAAATTAGGTGGAAAAAGGATAGGGGGTTCATTTGCAGCGGGATATTTAACAGCCCTATCAGTTCCTAATGATATGGTATCAGCCTGCTTGGTACGGGCTGAACAGTGAACAAAGACAGTTTTTAGAAGAGAGGTGAATAGCTTAATTGGGTAACAACTATATGTCCATTAGCAATAGGAATAATGTAGAAGTTAAGAATCCATGGGATTTCCAAATTGTGCCAACAGCATGGCAGACTCCAAAAGTCTGTGTAAATAAGTATAGTTTTCCCTTGTGCCAATATGCCAGCTCTAGTAACAGCTGTGTTTGGCAGCTTGGGCTGATTTTACATTGGTAAAGAATATGCTTCAACTCTTTCATGTGAGGAAACTATTATGTTTCCCTGGAAATTTCTTTTCCAAAATTAGGTAAAAAAAATAGAAGTACATCTAGGTTGTCCAAAGGGGTATCTTAGAGGTCCTCTCGTGGCTTTGAAATCATTTCTACAGTTGCAGTGCAATCATGTGAAATGGAGTGGGGCTCTCCATCATCAGGGAGGGGCAGTAAAATACTTAAACTGTTACAACCAGGGCTCCTGGCTAACTCAGTCAGTAGAGCAAGAGACTCTTGATCTTGGGGTCATTAATTCAAGCCTACTTAAAAAGAAATTGTTGGGGTGCCTGGCTGGCTTAGTCCGTAGAGCATGCAATTCCTGATCTCAGGATTGTGAGTTCAAGCCCCACACTGGAGTTAGAAATTACATTAAAACCTGTTTTAAAATCTTAAAAAAAAAAGTGTTACAATGACGTAAGATGATACAAGCGTTGGTCAAAGGAGCCTGTTCATAAGTGGTTGTCACCATATAGAGAAGTGCTATGCCTTATGAACTTTTAAGAGGGCAGACACAACATGACAAAATTAGAGGTGAACGAGGGAGCCTAATGAAAGCTGTCAATCCAGGTGGCAGCTGCAGCTATTGCACACAAACATGAGGGCATCCCTGATGCCACAAGGTCTAACTG